TGTCCGCGCCTACCTATTTATCTCGCTTGCAAAGTAGACGAGACTTATTCCTAGCTACAACACCAAGAAAGGCATTCCCAAGTTCGCAATCTGGATACGCGCCCGATAGCGTACAGCTCCGTCACGGGAGCTTGTGTGTAGCCTTTACTAACGTCTGCAATTTTAGGAAAAAGCGCGAATGGGCTGTGCCGCTTCGTTGGTTTCGAGCGACCAGATGTAATTAGACTCGTAAAGACGTGGTTGAACGATGAGGTACCCACACAGGAAGTTGAGCATAGTGGCTACTTGTGCTTTCGCTGTGATAGGCTAGCGAATGCCCACGGTGGCGTCTTGCACTAAACTCAGCAAAGATGGTCTATGTAGGCAGTTGTGATACTTAGCGCGAAGAACTACACGTCGATACCTTTTATCGATGTAAACTAAGACATCTTTTGCATTGGTTGCCGCATTTCCTGCCCTTTCTACTTATAGGGGATTTCAACTGTATTCAAATACGCTGGCTTGAAGTTCAATTTATCGCCGGATATTTCGTGACGTAAGCGAAGTTCGCTGCTATGGTACTTGAAACTGCGGCAGGACAATACCTCTGCCAAACGATGCGCACAATACCGCACTCAGGTCCATCGTGATCAGAAGAGGCAACAACAGTACATCGGTACTGCGTACTGACGCTTCGCTACGGCGCAACTACCAAAAGCCGCACGTGGGCTGAGGATATTGCGACGGTCGCCCGTTCTCTACACAGGCTCGAACCCGCGCCCTCGGATTACAAGGCCGACTTGGAATACTTCAGGCTACGGGCCGGGTTGATGTTAACCAAGTGTGAAGACCGTGTATAAAATTAGGATACTGGGGCCTCTGGCAGCAAGCGACTACTCAGTTCTTATTGCCAACATGGAGCTGCCGCCACAGCAATCCCACGCACTGCAGCCAGATTACAACTACTGGAAGACAGAGTTCGACGGCCTGACTGGAGCCGCGAGAAAAGTAGATTGATTTCTGCAGCAATTTGCAGCTGTCGAAGTTTTCTATTCAGTTACGAAGAATGGAATAAACTCATTGTGTGACCAGTTTGTGTCTGTCAAGTGTCGGAAAGTCGGACCGGTCAATTCGCACTGGTTCTACAGGGAATACGATAAGCTGGCTCGGCAGTGGCATAGACTGTGGGAAAATCCCTTATTTCTGGCTCGGTGGAAGACTGCGAGGTGCATAAAAAGCAGCGAAATATCTGCAATCATGCGAAAACAAACAAGGGCAAGCATTTCGAAGAGCAGCTTGCAACCGCCGCGAGGAAAATCTGCGTACGTGAAGTGGCGTCTGAGGTCTACAGATGACCTACTAGTGATAGAGGATGTGGACGGACAACCATAAACCTCCAGCACCGAGCGTGCGTCCGCATCGGCGGCGCAATTTGATACCGTTATAGCAACCGACCCGGTGTCTGTGCTCTTGAGTCTGGATTGTGGTGTAGAAGAAGGCACCCAACCAGATGGGCTCCTCTCCCTGATTCTAAAGTCCTCATTTGCTATCATCCTGCCTGCCACAACAGGTCGCGGTCCCATGGATGATTGCTAATTGATCGCAAATGCGCGGTGGTAAGTCCGAAACCGAAAGGCCGTGGTAGGAGTGGTGGTGGTCGTAGTAGCCGAAGTCGTCGTCGTAGTAGCAGTAGTAGTAGTAGTAGTAGTAGTAGTAGCAGTAGTAGTAGTAGCAGTAGTAGTAGTAGTAGCAGTAGTAGTAGTAGTAGTAGTCATTCAAGGGAGCGTGCTCGGTCCACTACTCTTTTTGCTCTACATCAATGACATCACCACATCTGTAAAACATGGTGCGTCATTTTTATCTGTTGACGATATCAAAATCGTCTATAAGCTTCGGCGTGGCGAGCTTCACGGAACACTACTGCTCCTTCAAGATTGTCTACATTCACTTTAGTCATGGTGCTGCACATAGGTGATGAACCTCTCAGAGAACAAATCAAGCATCATGGGTTACGGCTGCTGCATCCCCGAAGGACCTATCACCCTAAACAATGAACGAGTCCCTACATAGTTGTCCACGCGAGATCTTCAGCCTTTAATTTCTCCGAACAGGCCCAATACCAAGTAGCACGTGCCAGACAGTCCATGTTTAATATATCAAACAAAATACATACAACTTGTGCTAGGGTTGAGTTTTTCAAGCTGCGCACTCACCCCATCCTCGAATACTGCAGCATAATATACGGCAATATGATAGTGACATAATTGCTGTGGAGCATCTGCAGTTATTTAATATAAATCTGATTGGTGAACATTCTGCAATGAGTTATCGAGAACGTTGCAATGAAGTTCATCTCGAACCACTTTGGATTCGGCGATTGAATCGTAACTTGTTGCTGACTTTCAACGCGCTAGACAAAAAGACCTATTCCAACCTGCCTACACTCACTTCACAACACTGCTCAACTCGAGCGCTTGGCAACAAAGATGTTACACAGAATATACCGAAGACAAGAACGAACGCCCGCTTTAATTCCTTCCTGGTCAGATATAGCTATCTATGGAATAAACTACCATTAACAACAAGGTTATGTGACTAGGTGGCAACATTTAGAAGTAGGCCCGCCAATTACCTTTATCTAACTACCATAATCCTCATATTAACATGGGAAAAATCCCCTGATGATCTATTCCAAGAGGGGCCCAAAAACATAAACACCAATGTTTAGACACCTAGGCTTTGACGTCAACCATTCGCCAGAATGTTAATACATGAAACGCATATCCCAATACTCCACCTACGCAGGTCACTCATGCAAGAGCATGGATTCTTCTGTGCAAATTGATCTGTGCCGCTATAGACACTTGCTCTCATCAAGAGAAATATACGTATTATTATTACTATTATTATTGTTGGTATTAATATTATTATTAGTAGCAGCAGTAGTAGACTGGAGATGTCCGCCTCCTACTTTGTGTTGACTTTTGCACCTTCCAAAGGTAAGGGCCTGTTACAAGACTGGCCAAGTGTATCTCCTTCTGTCACTCTTTCGGGGCATTCGTTGAAAGTGGTCGACAAATTTGTTTATCTTGGTGGATCTCTTAGTATTGGCGGTTTGACGGATGAGATCTTGCGTGTCTCCAAGGCCAGAGTATCTTTCGCTAACCTTCGTCACCTGTGTCGTCGTCGTGATGTCTGTCTCCCTTTCAAGGGACAATGCTGCGATAAGAGTGATTCCGTTGTACGGCTGTGAGAATTGGTCCATTAGCAAAAGTGATGTTCAGCGGCTATCTGTCTTCGAGTAGCGTTGCCTGCGAAGCATTGCTAGTGTCCGACGGCAGAATCACATCGGTAACGAGAAAGTCCGTCGGCCAGTCTTTAAATCTGAACAGATCCGGCGAACGACTGACAGCATCATTTCACTGCGGTGGCTTTGCTGGCTTGACCATGTGCTCCGCATGCCTACCCAGCCGCTACCACGAAGTGCACTATGTGCGAGTTCAGGCGTGGGACGGAAGGGACGACAAGAAGGCCAGTATAAAACATGGACCCAAAGCGTTAAGGTGCAAACGTCGAACCTGATTGTTGTTCGTTGTTCCCGACTCCCGGGTTGGGGACCAAAGGACCCCAAGCACATCTGGTTGCCAACGCTACTGGACATGGTCAAGGACCGTACGCAATGGCGCACTTGCTGTGAGACTCTTCTTCTCTAACAATAGTTTTCCTTTTCTCTTATGTGTTGTGGCACTCAAAAAATGTAATTGGAAGTGTTGTATATATATATATATATATATATATATCCCATGCTGAGGCTGATGTTGCATTCATGATGCTTCTTCATCGTGGTTGGGCTAAACCAACTTACACTTAAACTAGGTCGTTTTAATCTGGATAAAATTCATTATGTTATTTGGTTTGTTCTGCGCACTTCATAATCTTCTGCCAACTTGCACACGTCGCTCATGCAAATTGTGGTAAACTTGCGTAATTGTATCGCGTGGTATTTTTTAAATAACTCGGACATTTTGTACCTATCACGGATTCACTTATAACTAATTTCTTCTATATGCTCATTTAGCGAGTATTTATGTCGTCATATGCGTTTACTTTATTCGATATCGGCATTTTGAGTGACTGGCTGTTGTTTGACATCCCATGTGTGGCTGCGCTTGATGTGCATGTTGACAAGGTGCCTACCTGTCTATTACCTACTATCTCGTCCATCTGGCTCCAGCAGACAGTTGGTCGTTGCTGGAGGGGACGGGGTGCACGGTCCTTGTGGTTGTACTAGGCTCGAAGAGTGGTTCAACGCAGTCAGTGTGGAGCGGACTACGGTCCAGCCACCGCCTTTTGTGCACTTGATTCCACAAATACAGCGTGCTTGTGTTTGCCTGTGAAGGAGTGTGGGCCGGCTCCGTTGATGAAATGTGGCTCCCATCCGCATGCCTCCCGGTCTTATTCCTTCGGGTTTACAGTGGATATGGGGTGTGTGGATGGAGCTGTGGGTGGTGCAGCGCAAACTACCCATGGTCCCTCTGTAGGCATAGGCGTCCTGTCGCTGTCCACAGTGACAGGCAAATCCGAAACCGAATACCGCCAACCATATATATATATATATATATATATATATATATATATATATATATATATATATATATATATATATATATATATATATATATATACTTCAGTAATCAAAGGATATTATGGATCCAGCTACTGCGCCTGGACGGAGTGGTAACAGTTGGATCGAACGCAACTCAGGACAAGATTCGGGGAGCCTTCATTAAATGAAGGAAGACTCAGTGTGAAACATAAAATGAGCCACGAAGGAGTAAATGGAAATGTAAACACAAATTCAGCATTGACAAGCGAGATTGGAAATGGCAGTCGTCGAATTGACCGAGAATCACTGGGGGTTCGAGAAAAAGTAACGTTCTCATTAAGTCACGAGTAAAAATAAACGAAGAAACTAGAAGGCACCACGATTTTAAAATAGCAAAAAACTAAAGTGTGTTAGACTATGATACCATAAAAGAGTAGATTAGACTTACTCGATTGCAATCAAGAAGGTCGACGAGTTCCTCGTTGTATAACTAAAAAAGAAGGAAAAAAGCAGGGTGTGATTATGATGAAATGAAACACAATGATACCATCAGTATGTTCTACCCCGCCGCCGATCCCCGTTTCAAGTCCATGAGGAGAGATAAGGTAAATAGGAAGCAAAACAGTTGGTCCAATAGGATGCGCACACAAGATGCGAAGAGATCACCTCGTGACAACAACTACCGTCTGCGCTAAGAAACGCGGGATCCATTAGCAGTTGTGGTAGAATCAGAGAAAAAAAGTGAGGAGCGTCATCGCGAATGGAGGAGTGGACAAACAAGGTTTTCTAGCGATAAGCATCACGTACTGCCACGTAAATTATACCCAGAGGACGCAGCAGGCTGCCACCGGATTAACCAAACTCAGATCGGTGTTCTGAGGTGGAAGCAAATATGACTAATAGGGAGGGTTAGTTGTACCTTAAGGAAGAGTAGGTTTTATCTGAGTAAAGCAGACATGCTGTTCAATAGCACTTCTACTTAGATAAAGACAAATGTTGTATCTAGGGTATACAGAAGAAATGGCCTTCATTTATGCTTCACTTGGATGGCGCGGAAGTGCTACTGTGTATAGGAACGTGCAGCTACATGCACGCTGTCGCAGGCACTTTGAACCTGGAATGTGCAAAGGACAATAAAGGATCTAGCCTAACACACAACCAGTTCCAAGGTTATGAAACAACCCTGCAAAGTAGACCATCAGTTCCATCATTGCATTCGACACATCGGTTACGGGTTGAGAGCCATAAATTCGCTTGGCGCTCTAGTGACATGGAAAAACTCCCGGATCCAACTAAGAAAAGAAGCCGAGACGCTATGATATTAGTAAACATAAGAAAACTCGTGCCATATGTACATACCTCAACAGTGCCCGTTCAGTCCTGAAACAGCCGGAGCTTCGCCTGTTACAATGAAACAAATTCACCGCGCTTGCTACCGTACAGTTAGGCCACACAGCACAATCATTACGACGAAATTAGAATGAAAACAATTGCACATCGGTTAGGAAACTTCAGGGAGTAAACAAATATTTTAGCAGATGGTGCAGAGCAAATCCTAACATCTACCTTACGTAGTGTGCCTCGGGTCGGATGTGGGATGAAGGAAGAAAAGGGATTGGGTGCGCTTGGGGCTAGTAGCACGGGGTGGAAGTGCACAACCGTCACAGCGGGTTTGGGATGAAAACAAATGCATGTCGAGTGTGGAATTATAAGGAGAAAAACAAACAAATGGCGCGATTATTCAAAGCGAAATCTAGATATCCATTTTGTGAATCGGCATAGTAATTTCGCCGCGTACACGGGTAACAAATAATGTACCCTAACTCAATCCCATAAGATGGTAGTAAAAGAACGACAGAAAACAACAAAGTAAAACAAGTTAATAGTATTATGCATTACTCTATACTACCTATCGGCGATGAGATCACGGTTGGAGGGGAAGCTAAGCGACATGGTGCGGGATAAAGAAACGCACAACACAGGCGCCACTGAGGTCAACTCTTCGCCAGGTGGACAAGTATCCTTAATCAAACGTGTTCATCGTGTTCCGAGCCCCAACCCGGGAGTTAGAAGGCTCCAACCGAAGCCAAATTCTAAGTGTAAGATCTCATTCCTCTTGACCAAGTGATAAGCCAACTTCCCCTCATTTTCCATCTACAAGCCGGTCACACAAATGACGCAGCTAAGAGGAGTCGGTGTTCTCACATGTGTAAGGCAACCAGGCAGTCGGGACCAGGTGCATAAATTAACACTGCTCAGTAGTTCACTTGCCCTTCCTCCACTTTAAGAAGGACGTCAAACACACAATGCTCCCGCCGTATTCCCACCAGCTTTGAGCTAAGCTACGGCGCGGAGGTCGAACGTAGATAGCCTCTTTATATCTGCCCATTTGGTGGGTAAGCTTCGCGGCCGTACAGGAGGGTTGCACGGATGGCTGCATTGTAAGTTCATAATGAGGGTGATGTCGCGAGGACGCCACAAGTGGCGAAGATAGACAAAAGCACCTCGAACCTTTGTTAGAAGGTACGTGATCTCATCCTCTATTCAAGGGGCATTGATACGGCTGCCAAGTTATAAGAATGTCTGAACGACCTCTAGCTAATCCCCCTCCAAGGGGCAGCGCAAGAGGCGGTCCCTATAAATCGTGGAAGAAATATGTGCATTTGAGGGTGCAATACACACGGCTGATAGCCCATGTTTGGCACGTTCGTGAGCAGTCACAGATTAGGGTAATATCGTCCGCACACTAAAAGTCAGGGATTCGATCACCTGGGAGCAGCTCCGCGCCTTCGCTGAGCCGGTATGAGTGATGCCAAAAGTGAGCTGAAAGCATGCATGGAAAGTAGCGGTCAGTCCAGCACACGATACATAAATTGCCATATGCGCTTTAAAAAATGATAAATGTTCTCAAATGATATCCAGTATAGATAACCTGGTTAATGAAATCAATTGACTCTACAAACCTGATGGGTTTTGCAGTTATTTAGGTAAAGTAAATAGGATACGGGCACCGAAGTGACCGCAAGGCAGTGGGTTTAGCAGTGGGCTACAAGGAGTCCGTCTTAAGGAATAAGGAGCTACCCTCACTACAATCCCCAACCTGGAGAACCAGGCTGGCCACAAAAAATTGACCAATCTGGTATGATTGATTGAGGATGCAAAAAGCACCACTCAGCGAAGCTCAATGGATCGCTGAGGCATGCAAACCATGGCAGCACGGTTAGGACCAGTCTATTCGAGATGTATACTACCAACTTTCCCACCTACAACGCAATCAGATTCGACATCTTGGGATATATTGAAACTGATCGTAAAGTCACCCTTTCGGAAGGCCTTATTGAACGAAACAACACAAAAACTTCGCCTGAGGAAGTCTTGTATCAAAAGCGAAACGTTACCAAATAAATACATTAACCGGTATTTCAACACAACTTTCCGAAACGCAATCACACGGTTGTGAAAAAAACAATGTATGGCTTCTAGCACGTGTCAAGACTGAGATTGCAGATGGAGGGAGAGGGAAAAAAACACAACACATAGGTGACTGAGGTCGCCATTCGACCTGGCCAACAAGTGCCTTCAACCAAGCGTGTTCGTCGTATTCCAGACTAAAACACCGAGGCCAAGCACTAAGCAAGGCTTTATTCCGATTGGACATGTATTTGGCCGCCTCCTCTCTTTCCCCATTCGTACACCGTTTGCGTAAAAATGTTGCAGAAGTTGGTATGCTGAATGTGTGCCACAAAGCAAGCTATCGGAAAATAGTGTTATAAAAAAGTGTGGAGCGATCCACTTGCTTCTGCTTCACAAAAAGAGAGTTACCAAAAGCGTTCAATGTCCGCGCAGTGCTACCACCAGATATGATCTAAATTGCAAAGACATCCGTGGTCAAACGCAATTACATTCCACGTCAGACGATATGGTGGGTTGTTTCGCAACGTAAGGCAGCATTGTGGATTCCACCCTGCAGTGCAAGAGTGATGTGCCAGAGCTATAATTATTAGAAGCCCTAGAACATCAGCTGGATAGTTTGGCAAAACATTTCCTCTTCTACAGGCGCCGATAACGCTACCTAGGTAGTTGAATTTCTAAACGTCAAGCTACTCGCAGTCGTGGTAAATCGAACTTTTGGCGCACCATACTAGTCGAGCTACTTAGCTGAAGGTTCGTGAAAAACAGTGTTTGGATAAACACCTGAAACAAAATTTGATTATTGTCAAATTTTCTCTGATCCAAGGCAACTTGGATTGATTAAAGTGGTACTATACCAAGCGTTTCGTTGACGCGTTGTTGTAATTTTTTCAGTTCTTCCGTACTGCACCCGAGTTTGTCTCGTAACTGTTCGTCGTTTTTCCGCTTTGTGTTCAAATTCTGTCTCACACTTTAGTATGTCCGTTTCGCCATACAACGAGGTGGGTGCACCCCAGGCTAATGCTGCTTGCGGCAACGCTAGCTGCGATATACCGGTGACAGATGAGTCAAGCGGCATGCAGTGCGACGACTGCGACCGCTGGTACAACCAGCAGTGTACTAGGCTAACTTCTGACCAATATGCAATGCTGTCTACCAGCGACAGTTTGCTTTTTAGCTGTGTCCGTTACCGTGGACGCCGGCAGGGTCGTTCGGCTTTTGTCGGTAGACGCCAAAGTCCTTGATATCAGAGTATATATATATAATTGTAACAGTCTATGAATAGACATTGAGCCATTAGAAACCATGGAACACAAAAGAAGGTACAGAAATTGTAAAAGAAAACACAATACATTAAAGTTCATGGTTTCGTCAGAGGGCGAGATACTACCCGGTTGCCCAAGCCGAAGTAGATGAGAAGAAGCACGTAGTCACCAACAGCGTCAAAGTTAAGTAGTGTTAGTATGGGATTAAAAACCCGCAGGGCAAACACACTCGGTCGTGGTGATTCTTACATGGATAGCAGTGTTATCTTCCTTAACGCGGTGGAATCCATAGCCGTCCTTCCTACTGAGCGCATGTTAGATCACCTCCAATGGTTTAAAATGTATTTGAGGAAGTTTCCTCCACCGGGTTTTTCCGGTGTTACCGTCGGAAGCTGACGATACTGGGTACCGTCCCAAGTGACGTGTCAAATGCTCGACGTCACCTATTGCGTGTAGCCGTCTCTACCACGGAGGAACGCAAAGCGCTATTGCGGTTTGCGTTTAAACTCAAGGATAGTAATATCCGTGTAAGATCTTCCGCTTGCGAATCGACTGAAATTAAAGTAAGCCATAATGGACCATAAGAAGCGAGCGGCCGTAGAAAAAGGTCTCTCGTTAGTGAGTATTCAGGTAATCAGCCGGCTGTCCATTTCCACCCTACCTGAGCCCCTTCTGGTAACGCATGATCCAGGACTGGACAATCATTGCGGTCATACGAACATACGAGCTTCATTCGACTTGGTCGGTCGACCTGCTTTATGGCATTGTTTGCTAAGAAATAGGGTCCCCGAAAAGTACACTTACACAATTCTGG